GTTGGGCTCCGTGGCTCACATCTGTAATCCCAGCACTCTGGGAGGCTGAGGCGGGTAGATCATCGGAGGTCAGGAGTTCGAGACCAGCCTGGCCAACATGGTGAAACTCTGTTTCTACTAAAAATACAAAAATTAGCCGGGTGTGTTGGTATGTGCCTGTAATCCCAGCTTCTCAGGAGGCTGATGCAGGAGTATTGCTTGAACCTGGGAGGCAGAGGTTGCAGTGAGCTGAGATCATGGCACTGCACTCCAGCCTGAGCAACAAGAGCTAAACTCAGTTGCCCCTCCCTCCCCCCAAAAAACCCTGTCATTTTAGTGAGTCTCTATCATAAGAATCAAACATTTCCTAATATTCTTACCAATTTTCCCAGACTGTTAGCTCCACAGTGTCAAAAGTAAAAGTGGTTTTTGTTCACAAAGAATAATATGACTGGGGCTCTATCTCATTTTCTGTCTCTCAGCTCTTATTCTACCTGTTGCCTTCATTCTCCAAAAGGCTTTTTCAAAGCAGCCAGAAAGATGGTCCTGTTAATCTCCAGCCTGCACTTTCCTTACAATCTCTTTCCCTGGGTCCATGTAATGAATACCAGGAAACACTCCCAAAATATACCCAATCACTAAAATAATCATGGTGATCTACGAGCAATATACAGGCTGGACATGAATGTATATCCTTCTTTCATGTGGTAAAAGGGGGAGTAAATCAGCTGAACCACATAAAAACAATTCACAGAAAAGAGGGATTCATTTACTAGAATCAGATGGAAAGAGACTCTGGAGAATCAAAGACATCCAATGCCCAGTACATGGAAATCTGAATGGACTGTCCTGCCAGGATGAATACTGATGGAGTTTATTTCAGAGTCACAATAAAAAAATAAGCAATAAAGAAGAGCAATTAATTTGGACTAGATTGTGGAAGAACTTGGGAATCATCATGCTTATATTTTGCACTGCTTTTTAAAGGAGTAATAACAGTGTGTGATCTAGTTTTGCTCTGTGTCCCCACCCAAATCTCATCTCGAATTATAATCTCCACATGTCAAGGGAGGAAGCTGGTGGGAGGTGATTAGATCATGAGGGCCATTTCCCCCATGCTGTTCTCATGATAGTGAATTCATTCTCATCAGATCTCATGGTTTAAGTGTTTGGCAGTTCCCCTCTCCCCTCACTCTCTGTGCTGCCACCATGTATGATGTACCTTGCTTCCCTTTTGCCTTCCACCATTATTGTAAGTTTCCTGAGAAAACTTTCAATTGACTTACAATTCCACAGTTACATGGAACTGTGAGTCAATTAAACCTTTTTTCTTTATAAATTCCCCAGTCTCAGGTAGTTCTTTATAGCAGTGTGAAAATGAACTAATAGAGCGTGCAAGGTCTACAATGGGCAGATTCATACAGCAGTGGAAGCAGAACAGATGGCAACAAGGACCAGTGAGGGAGGATGAGCAGATGTGTCAGGGGCTACTGCAGAAGTCTACAGGTGAAGTAACAATGCCTGAGAAGAGCTTATGGATCTACAAATAAAGCAACAAAAACATATGTGAGATGTCGCAAATGAAAAATCAACATGACTTTTTAACGTTTGGATAAAAGAAAGAAATAAGAAAAATATTGGTAGAGAGACTTTGAGAAAAGTAATCAGAACTAGGTTGAATTGAGTTATGGGGTGGGGGATTTTTAACTTTCCCCTTTTTATTAGGCACCTGAATGTTACCGTGATGTTACAAAATGAAGGGCCATCTAGGATGGGTAATTTTTATTTTTTGTAATTCCAATGAATAGCTCTATGATATTCCTGTTATATCCAGCAATTCCACATATATTCAGCTTCTGAAACTCCTGGTTGGTTTTATATGTGAATTTTTTGTAACTTGGTAAATTCAAAGCTCTGAGCTACAAGAAATCTGGAAAGTCAGGCAATATTAGCAATATCTGAAAATAACTTAAGACACTGAAGGAAAAATATCAAAAGCCCTGGAATATTTTGGAATGTGGATTTATAGATTTACTTAAAAAAAGAAGAGCCTTGATAAGATTTATTATATATATGTATTATTTATATGATATAAATATTAAACAATGCTAGATTATATGTAACTACAACAACAGCAAGACAAAAAGCATTAAAAAATAAAATAAAACTTCATTTGGTAAAAGAAAGTACAGACCAAAATGTATACCTAATTTAGGCCACGTTCTACCCTGGGATGGGTCCTTCCTACCTTCAGGCCAATGTTGCAAATGCTGAGCCAGTCATGGCATCCCAACAGGACAGAAACTCCTTCCATGTAGGTGCTATTCAGATTCCCATGCAGCAGATGAGAAAACTGAGGCTCAGAGAAGTGAGGTCACTACTGAGGATGACCCATCTCGGGAAGGAGCAGTGCTGGCCAGGGGCAGGTGAGGTCACTTCTGGAGTTTCTGGAGGTCACTTCTGGACCCAGTTCCAGAGGAAGCAGACCCTGACATGACTCCCAAATTGGCCAAGGAAATGATGATCCAGTGGTTTCCATTTCACTATTCCCTCACTCTCCACCTGTTTGGGGCCTTAAATCATCACTTTTGGCTCACACTTAGCTCCTCAGGGTCTTCCTAGCATCAGAAAGAACCCGGATTCCAGGGTCCATCTCTTACTCCAAAGTCACAATCAAAGAATCACACAATAAGGCTTGAGCCTACGATTCTAAAAGCACCTCCTAAGCTCAGAAGGCATAGAGGATCTGCTCATCAGTGAACAGAACAGAGCCCACAACCTGCAGCCCACACTCCAGTAACCAGAGCTTGATCAAGGAACCTGCAAGGAGTGGATAAGATCAGGGGCCACAGCTAAACTCCCAGCTCCAACCTTTACATAGTACCAAGGACAAAGCCCAGAAAAATAAGCTGACACCTTAAAACCCAGGGGTCAGCAGTCAGTGTCGAGCCAGTGCCCAGAGCCAGAAGGCTGAGCCTGAAGCACAGCTAGTGTCCAATGCAAAGGATCCCACATGCAGAGCCTGAACTCTCACTCCTGGGAACCAAGATCAGAGTCCAAGAATAATGCAGGGTCCATCCCAGAGGCGGCGAGTGGGACATCCTGTTACCACAGACATACGGGGACAGAGAATCAACTTGGGCTGTACAAAGCAAAGCCATGTTCACAGCTTCTCCTCCTATGGACAGTGGCTTTGGGCCCTGGGTTCTAGGAGCTGGGAGATGCCCTGCATTGTTAACAGGTGATTCCTTCTTGCTCTGTCATTTCTGGCTTTCTGCTAGTACCTGTTCTGTGCTAGGGCTGTACTGGCTGGACACAGTGATGAGCAGCACTCAGCCCTGTGCTGAGGAGTTCACAGTTTGGTAGAGTGAGACCTCATCACTAGATGAAAATGGCTATAGGTTTTCCCAGCAGCGCTCCCGGCAGATAATCACAACTGAACCTAGCATGAGTTTCCACAGAACTCTCCTCTTCTGTTGTGTCCACAAAGAAGCCCAGAGAGTGATCTGAGGAAACCTGGTTGACAAATAGCTACAGGCCGGGCCCTGTAAAGGAAGTTTAATCCTCTGGACTCCACCCAGGAGTCACTTAATTGGCCAGGAGGGAACTTCCCTCCCTGGCTGATCTGATAGGAACAGGGTAAGGTCTCATGGTGCCTCCATCTCAGGCCACCCTACTCCTCTATGTCCCCACTGTCAGTCCCCGTCCTGCTTGTCCCCATAGGCCCAGCTCAGCTCTGCATCCATGAGGAATCCTTACTATGAATGATGACCAGGCCGAGCACACGCGGGGGCCCATCCTCAACACATCACCTTTGTTGTAACATTCCAAGAACTCTGAGAGGCAATTTCCACGTTAAGGAAGCCACTTTACTGGACAGAATCTTGGTGCCCAAAAAAGGAGTATCACTGACTCCAGGTGACCCAGCCTGAAAGTTCGGCAGCCCAGTGCAAATGTCAGTAGGTCCCATTCCACAGTGTACTCATTCAGAACAGCTTCCTTGACAACCCTAACCCTTTCATCTAATCAGAAATACTTCAGCCACTGCCCAAGGTCCTGGGACTGCTCAACTCGGTCCATCAAACTGTAAGGCAGGAGCCTCAAGACCTGGAAGCCTAGCAACTTCTTCCTCTCCCAAAGGCGAAGTTTCTCTACTGTCTTCCCAGTTCCTGTAATCATTCCTGAGGACGAGGTTATCTGCCTCACATGAGCATGTAGGCACCACAAAATCACATCACACGCTGTCACCTGGCTTCCAGACACCTAGGTGTTCAAATGACAGGTCTCAGCACATGCAGCCTGAGACAGCATTGTGAAGTGGGGGTGCCACTGGGAGAGGCCCACCAAGCCAGATGAAGAGCCTGGTGGTTCTAAGGGTCTGGTCCCCCTTATAAAGAAGGCAAAGCTGAGGAATCACAGCCAGAGCTACCTTCCTGTGGCTTTCACAGCTAAGCCTCATCCAACCCCACTCAGGACTCTGCAAAGCCAGAGCATCCAGGGCACCAGACCTGGATGGGATTAGAGTTCTCTGGGCCCTCCTGGAGTCATCACTACACACACTTCTCCCTCTAGTGTATCCTGAAGGTTAAGTCATTGCTATGTACTGAACGTTTGTGTCTGCCTAAAATTCATATGTTGAAGCCTAAATTCCCAAGGTGATAGTATTAGGTGATGGGGCCTTTGGTAAGTAATTAGGTCATAAGGGTGGAGCCCTGATCAATGGGATTAGTGCCCTTATAAGAAGAGACAAGAAAGAGATCATCTCTTTCTGTCTCCACTATATGAGGATACAGTGACAAAATGGCCATCTGCAAACCAAGAGCAGTGCCCTCACCAAACATCAGATTGGCCAGTGCCTTGTTTTTAGACTTCCCAGCTCCAAGAACTGTGAGAGATAATTGTCTGTTGTTTAAGCCACCCAGTCTGTGGTTTTCTGTTATAGCAGCCTAGACTGCCTAAGACAGCCATTCTCTAAATCAACTAAAATGTATTGAGACAAACACCTTTCTTCTTTCTGAAAGGTAAAGTAAGGTACAGGACATCCTGGAAGCTGAGCAGAGAAGCATGCAGCCGTTCCATCCCAGAGGAAGCAGCACCCCAGGGGCTGAGAAGCAAACACTCCCTGCCAAATGTTCCATCACAATCAACAGATACAAGAGGATCCACTGCTAGAAGCTGGAGTTGAATTTCTCTTTCCCTTATTCTTTACCTCAGATCTGCAACCTCCTGTCTGGTGAGGATAAGATTTTGTTCAGCCTCCCAAGCTCTCAACCAATTACCATTAGCTTTTAGTTCTAAGGACAGAATCTGTCCCTGAGAGGAAGAAATGCTATTTCCAGCTTTTGTTTGTTATCTTGCAATGTCTTCTGTAGCTCTCTAACTCATTTTTATGACTCATCAGGTCTTTGGCTTCAAAACTTCCCACCTCTTGCTGTTAGTCATAATCTACTCTGACAGTAATAACCGAGACACAGACTCCATTTCTTTCTGCTAACAGAGTCCACTCATTTCATTTCCTCTCTCCTCTAAGATGTGGATCTGACCTTTTGATTCAGGCTTCTTCAGTTTCAGCCCCTTTCAGAGGACTTGTCAGTTCCGCTTTTCTGTACTTTTCTTCAGCAATGTTGGCATAGAATTGAATTTTCCTCTATTTTCAATGTTTAAATGTCCATCTGCCTTACAAAACCCTTCAGTTTCCTCTAGGATCCTTTTCCTCTAGGATCCAGTTTCCTCTAGGATCCAGGTTATCAATGTGATGTCCATTCTCTGATTGGACATGATCACCAATGTTCTCCTCTCCCAGGGAGGTTGCCAGTTCCCTGGTTTTGAGCTAACAATCCTGCAGAAACTTGAACTTACTCTTCACATGAGTGCTGGATCTCTATATGGAAATGATGAGACGTTTTTCAGTTTTCTGTGATAGGTTCACATATATGTGTCTCGGCGTCTTCCACTTGTGTTGTGATGAATTGAATTTCTTTGTCTAGAGCCTGTATCTTTCTTTTAGGATCAGACACTGATTGTCCTTGGTCTGAACATTGAGGCTTCTCATATCCCATGGTTGACTAGGATGTGAATGCAATTCTATATTATTCACAGAGCTCAATTTGCCCAGAACACAAAGCACATCTGGATTTTCATATTCTCTGATCATAGGCTGACGTTTCATGGATACAGAGTGGTTGCCAGTCCTCAAGAGTTTACCTCTGGTGGAGGAATGCAAAATACTCACAAATCATCCACCTTTCTGAAATATGTGTCCTGTAGGAGGGGAAAGAAGCCATGAGAAAGAAGAAGGTATAGCATCCCAGGCAGTGGGCCAGACTGCACTGAGGCAGAAGGAGGAACAAAGTTTGCCATGTTGAAGAAGTGAAAGAACAAAGGCAGAGCAGTAGGCCTGGGAAGGAGGAAGCGGAGGTTTTCTGTAAGAAAAGGATGTGAGGGGAGTTTAGGAACTCACAGCAGACCAGTCACACTCTAGTGGTGACATAAAAAGGCAGGTGTTGGCAGTTGGAGCCACAGTCACACTGAATATTAATTGGGCTGAGGGGAAAATAATGGCCTTAAAAGCTAGCAGACTTTAGGTCCTATTTGCAGTTCTTCCCTCATCTGAGAAATGGGGATATTGACTCTGACCCCCACGGGATGCCTGGAGAGATTAAATGCCATGCAATGTGTAAAGTGCTTGGGTCTGACATCACAGGGAGATATCCAGTGCTAAGATTCATACAGATTCCCTAGGTCTTAAGCACTTTTGGTTAGCCTTGGTGGGTTTTTTCAAACCTTTAAACATTAATCTTCCCCAAATTTATCTTCTTTCCAGGTCCCCACAGGGTCCAGCCCTCCTTCTGTGATTTCCTCAAAATGACAACCTGGAGGCTATTGATGAGAGGACACCCAGTGGTGAGGAGACACTGGGTTCACAGTCCAAAGGCTGAGTACCAGTCATACTCAAGGTGAAGAAAAAAATGCACATAGTACGCCCGAGACTATTATTTTTAGAGGCCTACTTGCAAGGTTGGCCTTTGGCTGAAGTCTGGGAGCTTGGATTTCTCAAGGGTTCCCATCATTCCCACAACTTATAAGAGTGGCTCACTGTTCCTAACTATTCTACAAACAATATGATTTATGCTAAACGCTTCTTTTCCTTCTAAGAGTCTGGAATTTTGGTGCACGCTAGGCAGAAAGTGCCTAACATCCAATAAAAACTTTGAACACTGAGTCTCTAATGAGCTTCCCTCATACATAATATCACACATATGTTGTCAGAGTCTGTTGCTGGAGGAATTAAGCATACCCTCTATGGCTCCATTGAAAGAGGACTCTTGGAAGCCTGCAATTGGCTTCCTCCAGACTTCACCTCCTGCACCTTTTTCCCTTGGCTGATTTTGCTTTGCACCTTTTCAGTATAATAAATTATAGCCAGGGCTAGGTGCGGTGACTCATGCCTGTAATCCCAGCACTTTGGAAGGCCAAGGTGGGTGGATCACCTGAGGTCAGGAGTCTGAGACCATCCTAGCCAACATGGTGAAGCCCCGTATCTACTAAAAATACAAAAAATAGCCAGGAGTGGCTATTTTTGTGGTGGCACACGTCTGTAATCCCAGCTACTTGTGAGGCTGAGGCAGGAGAATTGCTTGAACCTGGGAGGCAGAGGTTGCAGGGAGCCATGATTAAGCCACTGCACTCCAGCCTGGGCAAGAGAGTGAGACTCTGTCTCATATAAATAAATAAGTAAACAAATTATAACCACAGGCATGACTATAGGCTAAGTCCCAGGAGTCCTCCTAGTGAATCATGGAACCTGGGAAGGGCCTTGTCACCACGACACAGATGACATACTGTATGCCACCTCAAGGTGTTGTGTGAATTAAGTGAGGTATTACCTACAAAGCAACTAGCACACAGAAGCACACATTAGTTACTCAACAAATGCCTGTTCTGTCTCCCTCCTTTTGTCCTTCTACATCTTTCTAAGTTTTCTCTCATAGCTCATTACTCTTTTATTCATTAACAAATGTTTGCTATGGTCCCACATGTTCCAGGCAGTGTGAAAGATACAGGACAGAAAGGCCACAGTGAGCCTGACCCTCTCTCCTCACCTCACAGTCCAATGTGTGAGGTTGTCTGTCTCCATTTCTGTGTTTGTATCTGGGCTGGCCTGAGACATCAGGGATGGGCAAGTTTCTGCACCTCTTCAAGATGTGCCTGTGGGTCCTCGATCCTCCCAGGACAAATCTTTGGCCAGACCCATGTTTCCTAGGGCAGTTTCTCAGGAGAAAGTGTCCAGGCAGGCCCAGCTCCCTGTGTATCTGCAAGAGCCTCTTTTATGCTTTACAAGATGCAAGACCTGCTGCCTTTGTTCCCAGGCTGGCATGAAGAATCTGGCTAAAATCCTAACCCTACAGCCAAGAGCAACAACCTCCAGAAGGAGTAACCTCAAATGAAGCACCAGCCAGCAGAGCACAGAGACACCTGACCTGGAGCAGATCCAGTGACTTGTTGTTCAGGGCTTACAATATAGACTCCTGCCTATCCAGAGGGTAGAGACCACAATGTCGAATGCAGCCCAGAGTTCATCCAAGTAGCACAAGCCCTGACCAAGGCCTTGGTGTCCTGATTCCCAAGGTCTAAGTTCAGAGATCAGAGCAAAGAGACCAGGAGCTCTGATCTCCTAACCTTCAGGCATGATATCAGAGAACCAAGCCCAAAGACAGATGGATTGAACCTAGACAGTCAGGACAGGGACCAGACCCCAAATTTAGAACTCAAGTTTCAAAGAAAAAATTTAGGTCAAGGCCCTGGGGTCAGCCTAGAGAGCAGCTCCCAGAACGAGGAGACCAGAGTCCAGGCCCAGAATCTACATCCCAGAGTTCATATCTTGGAAAGGGAGGAGGGGAGATACAGTACTGCTGTTTGTGAGATGCCTGGCACCCTGAGAAGTTCAGGAGACCTGAGTCTGGATTTAGTCTTTCAAATGCCAAGATCTTTACTAATTTGCAATGCTTTTCTTTCTCCTTGAAATGTACTTCCTCCTACTTCAATACTTTGGGATCCTTCCTATTCCCCAGCGAGGTTTTTCCTGACCACACAATCTTCAGTGATCTCTCCATTATTATCTCTTTCAGTCCCTCATTTGTCATCTTTGTTGCAACAATTGTATTAATATACATTTGTGTCATCTTTCCCCACTATACTGGGAGCTCACAAAGGCAATTATGTTTTCTGTTGTCTCCCCAGGTTCCCTCCCAGAGCCTAACACATAGTAACTTTCCAGAATTAATGTGTAGAATGAGAAGACAGGTGTCAGGTGGCAAGGGGGCGGGTGGGGGACGGGCAACCCCTGATCTCTTAGGGTATCCCTTGGCCCCCTGCAGTCCTAAGCATGGCCACAAGATGGCAGGGCTGACCCATACTTTCCCTGCGGGACACAGCAAAGTTTGTTCTTCCCTCAAGTGCCTTGGGCCTTCAGGGCCCGGATAACCCCTATCCCTCAGCATGGCCCTGGAAGCCATACAGAGCCGCCTGAGGGGAATAATCCTCCCTCTCCACCATTCTATCGCTGTTTAAACAGGGGAGTCAACTTGGGGCCAAGTATTTCCGGGTGAGTCTGACCTCGTTATTCTAGGTCTGCATGTGTCTGTCCGCACCTATCTCAGAAAGCAATCCGTCTTAGTTCTCTTTCGGTGACAAGAATTTTTTTTCTTGTTTTCTCAGTGGGTAGAGCTTCCCGATTAGCACTCTTACATATTTGCCATTACTAAATGCTCTCCTTCCTCCCATTTACAGCTGAATAACTGAGGCTCAACAAGATGAGGGCATTTGTCTAAGTCACAATCCTCAGGTCAGTATGGAGTGGAATGAAAACGAGATATGTGTACATTTGTCTGTGATGCCTTCCTGACCCCCTCACTTGTGGGGTCTGGCGGCTGGGTACCCGACTGTATGCAGAGGGGAAAGGCAGCTAGTCTGTAGCCCAGCCAGCCCCGTGGAACCAGCCTTTCCTTGACCCTGCTGGTAGAGAAGGTCTTCCTTAACCCTCCCCGACCGTCCCCCCACCTCCAATTCAATAGGCAGTTCATTCTCAATCAGTTCAACTCACTCTCCTCCAGGATCTCTACTTTTCTGTCCAGGACAGACTCACCTGTAACTCCATCTTCCTATTCTGGAGAGGTGGTTGTGGGGATTGGTTGGGTTCCTCTGAGGTAAGTGGGTCTCTTAAAGCTGCACTGGGCTGGGGGCCAATGTGTTGTGCCTGGGGAGGGAGGGAAGGAGGGGAAGAGGGAGGGAAGGAGGGGAAGAGGGAGGGAAGGAGGGGAAGAGGGAGGGAAGGAGGGGAAGAGGGAGGGAAGGAGGGGAAGAGGGAGGGAAGGAGGGGAAGAGGGAGGGAAGGAGGGGAAGAGGGAGGGAAGGAGGGGAAGAGGGAAGCAGGGAGTGGACAAGGGAGACGGGGATGGGAAGAGGGAGGCAGGGAGAGAGGGGAGAAGGTGAGAAGGGGCAGAGGGAGGCAGGGAGGGGAGGAGGAAAGGACAGAAGGAGGGAGGCAGGGAGGGAAGGAGGGAGAAGCAAGGAAGAAAGGAAGGAGGGAAAGAGGAAAGGAGGGAAGGAAGAAACAGGGAGCCCAGCCTCAAGCCTCGGGGCCCAGAGCCGGCAAGGCCCACCCTTCTGCCTTCCTTTGCTGCTCAGCTTTCCCGTGAGGCCGGGCTGGAGGGACTCTTCATGTTACATCTGCAGACAGAGGGAGCACACAGGGCCTGTGGACTTACCGTGCACACGACGATGCGGACACACCTACTGTGTCAGGGCATCAAAGGACTCTCAGCTCCCAATTTACCCTTTGAAACATGCTCTGTGATAAACCACAGAATTCCTTTCAGCGTTTTTCGAGTGAGCACGATGCAAAGCTTTTTCAGTAGAGGGCGCTAGAGAGACCTCTAGAAAGGTCTAGAGGTCTAGAAAGAAAAAGGGGGCTCCTGCAGTTTCGGGAGGCCCTCTCGGGGGTCGGCCTGGCGGATGAGAACATCTGGAGGCACCGCGGTTGGAACACACAGTCTGGCCGCGAATCCGGGAGCTTGCAGTCGCGCCCTGACCTCGCCACCAACCCCCTGCAGCCCTTGCGGCAGGGACTCCGGGACCGAAGCTTCCTGCTGCACCTCTGTTGTGCTGCCTCTGCTCGTCCCTCTTCCCCTAGGTGTGTCTCCCGCAATCTTAGGGAAGCAGTGGTCCCCCCGACAGGGTCGTCGCGCTTCGGGCCTTCTGCTGCACCTGCGCCCCACTACCGCTGCGCGACCACTGCGGCCACCACCTGCGGCTTGCCTGGCCCACCTGTGCTCCGGAGGAGGGCTGATGCCTGCTTGTCCCAGAACTGCAGAGAAGCTCTGGTCCAAAAACCAGCACAGTCACCCAGTGGGTTCAAGTACCCTTTCTCCAGTGAGGTCTGAACCACAGAGAATGTCTTACATTCTATAGTTACTTTTTAATCAGGGTTTGATAATTATTTATATTAAACTACCCCTGTTTTGAACACTGTGTGATGTCTGTTTCCTGATTGGCTCCAGAGTGTTAAACCTTTTCATCCTCGCAAAGCTACAGGTGAGTTCATTTAGTCACAGGTGGGGAGACAGACTTTAAGAAATGGCACAGACTCACATTCAGATACTCCCCCCCACACACACATACACAAGTATGTGTACACAAGGGCCTGCACACGCACACACCTGGATGCGTAGAGGGTGAATTTTTGTCCGAGTGTACGGTGTGGGATATTGGGTAAACTAATGATGCAATTAATCCGTTAATAATGCAATTAATCTACCATTAATCTACAGCTGAGCTTTCTGTGTCTGGTCCCAGGGAGGTACAAAAGAGCAGGAAGGGTACCAGGAAAGCTGCCTCATGATATTGGAGGCTCTTTGGGGTCACTTACGGTTTTTTCCCGGTTGTACCTAGGCTTGGCTGTTACATGCAGCTGATCACAAGAATCAAGTGAGATGGTGTTGGGAAGAAGAGTTTTTCTGCCCAACTCCCTACATTTCTGATACTGCCGTAAATACCTAGATTTTTAACTGTCACAGGGAAGGGGGTTTGGTTGTCTAATTGGTTAGAGCCCAAGCACTCACTGAGCCATGGCTTTCGGTGATCCTCAAAATGTGAGCACCTCTCTGGGGTATCCTCCCTGTGTCCCCCGTTTCCGGCCTGGGGAGCCGCCATCTCTGTCTCTTCCACTCCTCCTTTCTGGTATCTGTGTGACTGGGTTGGTTTAGATGCAGGAGTACCATCTCTCCAACTCCGTTGTGTGTGTCAGAAAGCTTTGCTCATTTGTCTTTAATACTCCGAATCTCCCATTTCCAACCCCCTGACTTCCATGTCTCCAGTTTCCCAGTCCTGCAAGAGTCCTTTGCTCTGCTCTCCCAGTTCCTCGGTGTGTTCTTCAGCAATATCCACCCTGGTGGTTTGCACTTTCTATCGTGTTTATTATTCCAATGACTAATGTCCATGTTAATATTTCTACTTCATTGCTTTCCTACTGCCTCGTGCCTGTGTCATACGGGCAGTATCTTCACTGATTTCTCTATGGATATTGATTATACTTATTTTAAATTACTGGTATTCCTTTCCAATAATGTTGCAGCCAGTAGCGTGTGCTTCTGGTTCTTATCTTTCCATTGTGCTGACCGTGCCCCTCTCAGCCCTCTCCTTATCGCAGCAGTGAGAAACCTCCTTTTGGGGGTGTAACCTGTCTGGTCACCTCTGCCACATGCTGCTCTGGGTCGCCCACTGAGTCAAAGCAGAGGCCGAGAAAGGGCCTGGGCAAGAAGTGTCACTGCTTCCAGAAACCTGTAAATGAGGGTCACCCACCAGGAAATTCTTGGGTTTTTTTTTTAGACAGCAGCTGCCCCGGAGTGAGGACACTGGTGGAAGGAATATACCAGGCCTGGGAGTGAAGGGGCAGGAGGAAGAATGGGAGCAAGCAATGTCTGAGGAGACCCTGAGAGCCACATGTGTTCTGATTTCTGCAGCAAAAGAGCAGGTCTTTGCTATCTTAACTTCTAAGCTTCCCTTCACTGCAGCCACCCTGTGTTCAAGGCCATGTCACAGATAAGCATGTCTCTATCACATGGGCAGATATGACACCCTCGGACCACCCACACCGTGGCTGTAGGGGGCTAAGGTAGTCCTTGCCAGATGCTGTGGTTCTGTGTATTTGTGTTGGTTAAATGAAGGCCTATGACATTTACACGTTCTCAGAGAATTCATGAGCAAAAACAAGCAAAGAAAAAACAGCGGGACTGGAACACAGGACAGTACAGGATGAAAAGTATGGAAAGGTCAGGCCTTAGAGTTACAAAGGACATTGCTGACAACCAGAAAGCAGCCTACAGCTGTCAGCTGTCTCTCACAGCCTGTCTCTCACGGCCAGACCATGGTATTCCCTGCTGACCGTGAACACTTCCACAGAATACCGGTGTACAACAAAATTACTCTGTTGTAAGACCCCAAATCATTCCAAAATCATGCCTTCATACAGACAAAAGGTTTCTCTGTGAACCACAAAAACAAAAAACATGCCCCTCTCCTGCTTAACATAAATATTTGCCACTCTTTGACAAAATACAGCTTCGCCTTCCTCTGTTCTACTCATCTCCTAAATAAAAGATGCACAATCAGAATTGCCCAGCTTATGGACAGCACCCTATCCAGAAGAGATTCCTCCTTCATAAACCCTTCCCCCAAAACCACCTAACACAAAACCAAGTCTTACAGAAATCCCCTCCCGACACCCTGTTACTGAGAAACCCTGGGGTACACCATTGTGCTCAATATTCCTGTAGAAACAAACGGAAAAAAAAAAACAAAACTAAAAATAATCAATCCATTTTATCTGACTATAAGCATATTTCTGATGGTCCTCGCTTGGAGAGCAGTAACATTCTCATTCCTAGTGTCCTACTCACAGCATCCCAGTGGGAAAGGGAATGGGGTTCAAAATCTGATTCGAAAGGTATAAAACTGAGGTTCAGCCAGAATATGGAGTCTAAGCTCACATTCATGAGTCAAAACCAAGCCTTCTGGTTCCGAATCTCAAACCATGCCTCCCACATGAAGCCACCCAAGAACGCTGCTTCCCACGCTGAGAAGACTCTTGAACAGTCACCCTGGAGGGAATGAAGGCCTTTCTCAAGCAGGCTGTCGTGGTGAGCAGTGTGCCATGCACTCTGATTGTGGACCAGTTAAGGATACACCAATCTACAGTCAAGGCAGCGGTGCCTGCTTTCCCAGACGAGGAAACTAAGGACGTGAAGGCAGTGGAACTTGACTAAGGTCACACTGTTGGGAAGTGGGAGAGCTGGGATTTCACCCTAGTCTACAAAAAAGGGGATGTAGGGCACCAGGCAGTACTCCTGCAGATCAGAGAGGCAGTTGTCTCTGCAGCCTCTTTGGGGTGAGGTGCATTTCTTGTGGTGCTGCCAGAGTGGAAGCAGTGTTGGGAAGAGTTTTAAAGTCCAGAACAAATGCACACAGTGGCCTTGTGTACGGGATGGACTGCAGAGTGGGCATTGATGTGGAGAGAGACATTCAGGCTGCAGTATGTGGAGAGGGGCCTCTCCTGCTGGGAAAGGCCTTCTGGAGAGCAGGATGTAACCGGGCAACACTCCAATCTGTGGCTTAACTGCTAGATTGACTTTCCCTCAGATCCCCCCATCCTCCGAACCCAGTTCTAGGACATTTCAGGGTCTGGAGGGCAGTTTCCTAACCTCTGGACTAGGTAAACAATGAAAGCAAGCACTGTGATTAAAGCCAGCACCACCGGTGACCTGGAGTCAACTACCTCGCCCCACCTGCTGCTACTGGAGCAGGAGCAGGGGAAGCTCTGGCTGCTAAAGAATAAGAAGAGAAACAAGTAATCTACTGTGTTCTTTAGGCTCTGGATCTCCTGATATCCATTGATGGCTTTAGGCATGTGGTTCTGTACCATCCTGGATTTTTCCAGGCACAGGGGACAGGTCAGCAGGAAATAAGGAAGCCAGTCCCTCCACAAGCCAAGAAGACTTCAATTAGAAGGGACCTGGCAGTGCATCTTACTCACATTTCTTCTGGTGTTTGGAGGCCTCCATAGTATCCCCACCACATGGCCTCGCAGCCTCTGAACTTCCCATGATGGGCTCCCCAACACCCCAAGCTACATGGCATTTTTCTGAAAGCTATATTGGAAATGTAGTTGAGAATCAAGTGAACTATGCTTCATAAAAGTATTCTCCCA